TAAAAATTTGACCGAGTTATGAAAACCAATTAATTAATTTTACATAGTCTAATATCTACAGATCGTATTCCACAGTATGTTTTATATATCTAGAAATGGGGCTGAGCTTTTGAGCAAATAAAAAAATTATATAAATTATATATATACTGAAAATTTTTTTTTTAGCGAGAAAATTTGCCTATTGGACGGTTAACGTTAAAGAGATAAATTGCATGCCTTATACTATTCTGTTTTTATGCAAGCCTGTGATTGCCATGCCATTCACCTAACCCTATCGGGAACGGCACGGTACGTAAACCGCTTCTTTTCAATTCGTACGTACGTATGTACAGTACATATTTTATTATAATTAGTGATCATTAACAACCTCACATGCAGTTTTTATCTACAAGCCCATCGCTTTTAGATAATGTTTTGCTGAAATATTAGTGGTTTGCCACTTGTTTTTAATGCGCAGTTAATTAATTCAGATTCTAAATCATTAGTGAAGAATCGCATGTATTCAGATAATTTGGTAATTACAAATTTTATTCATAGTATAGAAAAACTAGATTACAAGATCAGACTCTAAAATATCTAAGTTTCCATACGTAAAGAGGCAATATCTGCGGTTATATAATCATAAAATATGCACATATTAGTAAGCTAATCATGATTTTATAATCAATAATCGTGATGTTTATTATGAAATCAGTGCTTGCAACAACCATCTATTTTGTTAGCATGAGCTTACAAAGCGTAAATGTACTTTTTTCGTACTCTTTACCAGCCGTAAATGTGCAGCAGTATCAAAATTTCCTATTTCTGCACCATAGCAAATAATTTATGCGTATTAACCTTTTTCTTTTCCCCAAAAAAAGTAAAATAAAAAATTTAATTAGGTTCCGTGGTACGATTCAGCTAAGCTAGCTTGATTTAGAGGTTTTTTGTTATCATCACTCTTAAGTTAAAATCTATAGGATATATATACACATTTTGTACGTACTAGTGTAAAATTTATATATAGTTTTTTGCGATGTTTTCATCAGGTTGGCTCTAAAGTCATAGCAGTCTTTTTCAAGCTGGCTCTAAAACCATTGCTCAAACCATGGCATAAGCTATAATATATAAAGTCACGGTTGAGCTTTAAGCCATGGTTTTTGAGCCAAACCAAACCAAGATCCTTAAAACCCATAAATAGCATAGGGAGAATCGAAAATCGATTACAGGATTATCTCAGAATCAGATTCTAAGAATCGATACGTATTAATCACGGTGTCATGTGAGAATTAAAATGTGATTATAGCGCTTGGAAGGTGTGACATCATATTATTGTGACGATAAAATTTCTGAGATTCTAGATTGTCATAATCGTATTTTTCAATTAGTTATATTTCCAATTCAAACATGGCAAAGCGTAATTATAGGCAATTTAGAACTTCAGAAATTTCCCCAGATCATCAATTATGAATCACGTCTTTTTTTGAGGCAATCATGAAAAGTTCTAAATTAGGAATTGAATTTACTTATTCGATTTTCAAAAATGATTTTGACAGTGGGTGATAAATAATATCATGTGAAGAAATCTGCTCGTACCAAGATGGTTTTACAAGCGACATTTGGTTCTACGTATGTAAGCTGCCTGAGAGAAATGTGATTTTGGGTTTTCTTTCAACTTTATCATTTATTATTTAGTCCTTTAAAAAGCTGTTATTAACATACATGGTACGTAACCACATATGTATATTAATTTATATTACCGATCAGATTTTTCATGAGTTGAATCTGATAAATAATAGAAAATAAACTTGATAGCAGTCTATTTTTCTCTTGGCAGCACTCAAAATACACTCTTAAGCCATACCAATCTTTTACGTGGCTAATTCTTTCATAGATCTCGGTGCAACTAACTCCGGTGACGATGCTTCGTCATCACGTACGTACGTACGTACGCATTCGTACTACTGCAGATGGAACCCGAGCAAATTTAACCAAATTCAGCGACTTTTTTTACGTAAACATTGCTTACGCACTACGTGTAACCAATTCAATTTTTTTTTAATGCAGCACTATAAATATCTGGATCAAGTCAAGAAACCATACATTTAAGAATCCATCGATTTTTTTTGTTTATTAACAAGGTTTGTGAATTATGATTTTTCAATTTTTTCGAGGAAACGGTGTTGGGATTTGTAATGTTCGTAATAAATGTAATACTTTAAGTATTAACATATTTAAAAATAACAATAATAATTATCATAAATTATTTTTACATCAACAACGCGATCATTTTTTTATCTATAATATTTTTTCTTCGAAAAAGTGAGTGTAATTTTCGTTGATCATATTTGAGTTTGAAAAAAATTCAATCGGAGTTTATCGATTTTACACATTCACGTTTTTCAGCCATTCGTTGGTAGCAAGAAACGGTAGGTAATTATTTTCATCATTATCCTATGGTGTGCCTTAGTATTCAATGTAATTCAGCGTTGAAAACCGTAAAGTCAATATATTATAAACTGGCATATTGTCGGGTATTTACGACAGACATTATATGCTAAGCATTTTTCGAACTCCTCCTGATTTTTTTATAATAAATTGTCAAAAAAGGTTTGCTCCAAGCAACTCTTCAAAAAATGTCATATAAATTACCAAATTCAATCCCTGATTTTCCTACATATGGATTGCTTCCCAAGGAGGTACGATCTCCGATTTTCTTTTATACATATAAATATGTATTTATTTTCTCCCAGTTAATTGGTATTATAAAAATAATAAAAGGAAACCGAAGCAGCATCATTTTTGAAAAAACATCCTGAGTATGATGGTCGTGGTGTTACTATTGCAATATTAGACACCGGTGTTGATCCTGGTGCTGCTGGTTTACAGGTAACAAATATCCTCCATTAAATAACGATTTATCTCAATTAAAATTTTCTAATCATTCGTGATTTTAGACTACTACTGAAGGGAAGCCAAAGATTATCGATATCATTGATTGTACCGGTTCCGGTAAGATACAACAAAAAAAATTTTTTTTTATATTTAAATATGTCTTTAAATGTTTTTTGATTTACCGTTTTTATTTAAAATGCTAAGGTGATGTAACGACAAAGGTTGTTGTAAAACCTGTTATCAAAGATGATGGAAATGAGACTTTACACACAATTCAAGGCTTAACTGGTCGTACTCTTATAATTGATCCAAATTGGAATAACCCTTCAGAAGAATATCGTGTCGGTATTAAAAGATTATATGAGCTATTTCCAAAAGATTTGGCTAATAGGCTTCGAAAGGTTATTAAAAACAGATGTAATTTTTGTTTGTTTTTTTATTTAACTATTCTCTTTAAAACTAAAAATCATACATATATTTTAGGAACGTAAACAAGATTTTGTAAAAGAACACTATCGGCTACAAGCTGAAGCACAACATAACCTCTCCCTTTGGGATGAATCTCATTCTGCTTCTT